GAGAGAGAGAGAGAGAGAGAGANAGAGAGAGAGANAGAGAGAGAGAGAGAGANNNNGAGAGAGAGAGAGAGAGAGAGAGAGAGCAATGTCTCATAGGAAATTCAAGCACCCTCGGCATGGTTCCCTAGGGTTTCTTCCAAGGAAAAGAGCCAGTTGACACAGAGGAAAAGGTACAAACCCGAAATGCCCTAGCTCTAACTCTAGATCAGTTGGTCCTCAGGCGTCATGGGTCATTATTCAAGATGGTGACCGTACTTTCATGGAGGAATCTTATTGTATTTTTCTGTTTCTGCAAATAATGGATAGTACTCGAGTTTTTTCTCTGATTATGTTTTTGATTGAAATCAGGATAATCGAGGTGCATTCTTTGGTATTTTTTTTGTCTCCTATGCGGTTTTTATTGAAAGTTATTATGTTTTCTTGAATTATTTGTAAAATGGTATTGTTTATTTCTCCTCCTCGTGTGGAAATGGATCGTCCTGGCATTTGTTTGTTGTTTTTTTTTTCTTTTTATGTCAAAATGTTTTATTAGTTTCATGAAATAAGGACCTTATATTATTGTCAGCAAGACATTGATGTATTTTGTTATTTTGGCTGGATTAATGGTGTTGGTATGATCTATTTGGAATTGATTTCTTCAATACTCTTTCCTCTTGTATATAAGGATATTCGGATTTTTTTCGGTGGCTCAGGTCCTGCTTATTTCTCACAACTATCAGTGCTTTCATTCAGCGAATATTTCCTAAAATCCCAGTATCACTCTTTCCCTAACGAACTTTTTGAAACTCTAGGATACTCATTGTTGTTCATCCTGTTTATATAACTGGGTACGTAGTTTCTTATTATTCAGTTTATATGGATTAATGGCACAAGTGTTTTGTCCTCACAATAGTTCAGTTTCTACAGTTTGTACCCAGTTTTTTATTATGATTAAAAGTGGTATCATTGAACACAATGCAACTTAAATAAAATCACAGTATCATTTTATTTTGGGTGCGGTTTGTATAGAGTTGAGGCTCTAAACAATCAAAGTCAATCGCACCTTCAAATAGTGTCGAGAAATGTGGCTTCAATACTGGAAATATTTGTGATAGCCTTAAAATATGTTTTCATTTTTTATTATAAAATTTAAAGCTTCAAAGACAGTGTACATTGAACAGATCTATGAAAACTTGAAAGTTTTGAAAATTGGCGGTCCAAAAAAATGGGTTACAAGATGCACTACTTCCAAAACTTGAAATCCGTTTTTTTCTCATGTCCACGCATCTTGATGTCGAGATGATCAATTTGAGGATATTTGGGCATCAAAACATCTTCTAGTCAAAGTTTTGAAGTGGGCTCTAATTTAATTGTTTAGAGCCTCGGCTCTATATAAACTTTTTCCTTTTATTAATGATTAACTTTAGAATACTGTTGTAGTCTTTTTTTAACCATTTGTAGTGGCGCATGTAGTTTCTCATTGTGGGGTTCACCTGGTTTAATAAGGTTCCTCTTGTCCTCTCTGAAATGTTGTTAACTGGTTTAATTGAATGGGTTTGATACAGTGAAAGCTTTTCCAAAGGATGATCCCACCAAGCCTTGCAAGCTTACGGCTTTCCTTGGATACAAGTCTGGTATGACCCACATCGTCAGAGAGGTTGACAAACCAGGATCGAGTATGTTACCTTTTGCTCTTCTTTTATTATTTGATTTTTTAAAAAAATTATTGGAATATCTTTTGTAGTGACTACATGTTGGATTGATTATGTTAACTTTTCATTTTCTTCTAGTTTGATTTTTTATGTGGCAATTATTTCGTTTACGATGTATAGACCATCAGGCCTCG